GCTGCTATTTAGATATTGACACTGGATCACATTATTTAATGTTACCTTTACCATCACTCACTGTTAATAAAATGTATTCCAAGCAACAATAAACTCTGTTATAATGCCTCCTTAAACTCAAAATTAATTTCACAATTAAGTTTGTTTTATTTTCCTCAGTGCAATGTTATTATGATCATTTAGGGGAATGCTAAGCACGCACAAGAGGTCCCTGGGGACCAAGGACTAAAGTAACAATCTCTTCTCATGTCACTCCACATCACTGTAGCAACTGCCCTGAGTTTACCTAATGACCAACATGCATGAGGGAGGATGACAATGGAGATGCCCAAATCAATGGCCATGCTACTTCACTTTAACCAAGAAATTTGGTTATATGTAGTACATATATACAGCACACACCTCCACTACACTCCAGCAATAGAGTTACAATTCTCCCCTGCCAACATGAATAGGTTAAACCATGATCCATAGTACATAACATGTAGTTGTACTATGGATCATTTAAAGTCACCTGTCCCTTTAAGAAAAAGTATCGGTAATTGGTATCGGCAAGTACATGAGGGGATGTACTTGTACTTGGGTCTGAAAAAGTGGCATCGGGACATCCCTAGTAGCAACAATATAATCCAAATGGTATTTTTGTGCATTTCTTAATATAGCTAACATACGGTTAGGACCTGGAAAACATGTCATTAGCTTCCACGGTGCTGCTGTGGTATCTATAGTGGCTTTCAACTAGTATTGAAGGCCCAACCCTGCTCATTTTCTGAAGGTTAGGCTTTTCTGAACAGTTTGTATTTGACTCTTGACAAGATTCTACGACTTTCATGGGATATTCTAAATCTCCACAACTGAGTGGCGCTTGATGTGCCTTAAGGTGCCCAGCCACTGCACGATTCCCGTACGAGAATCGCAGGAAATCCCACGATTGTACGAGAATCGTGCAGTGTGAATGAAGACGTGCGAACGTCTAATGAGCATGCTAGAAAACAAGCCGAAAATCTTACGATTTTTGGCTGGTTTGAATGATGCTCGGGAGACAAATGCCGAACGTGCACACTGCCCGTTCAGCATTGGGTTCATCGGAAGCCTGCTCCTCAGGGGGGCGGGCTTGCGATGATTGCAAGTACAATCTGCCTGTCCAAGATGGGCCGATTGTACGTTTTTTAAATTACTTTACAACCATCGCAAGACTAAGGTCTTGCGATGGTTGTAAAGTGTATGGCCACCTTCAGACAGATATTATGTGTGATAAATTCACAACCAGTGTATCCCAGCTTGACAGCCTTGTTCATTGTCTAAATGTAGCCCAGCATCGCTATCCTGAAGTCATTTTGTTATCATTCCTTGCACATACAATTTTTGTGAGACTGTAGCAGAGAAATTAGAAGGGATGCTGTATAGTACAGGTTACTAGATATCAAATTTGAATTCCAGCAAGCTGTTTTACCTGACAAATGATATGTAATAGTGTTTACACCATTTTGTGAGCTAGACATTGCTGCCAGACACCATAAAAAATTTTTTTTTCTTTACAGCAGACAGGTCATACAGCTTGGTCATCAACCTGCCCCCTTTTGAATGGACATTGAAGAAAAAACAGAACTGATGAGGTCATCACTCTGCACTCTCCTCCTGCACAATGTTCACACTATTTACTGGCAACACAGTTCAAAGCATCAAAACCATCACAGCTGCCCTTTCCCCCCACCGCTAGTGCTGCTGGTCAGGGAATTACATCAGACTGACAATATGACAGATACAGATATTTATGCTACTTCTGAGTAATAATACATTTTATTTTTAAATGAACACCATGGGGTTGATTTACAAAATTTCCTCCCATCCAAACACTGGGCAAATCCCATTCGCACAGCATTCCTGCTACTAGTTGTATCTCCTCAGCTCCATCTAGTGGCGGGAATGCCATGCGAACTCCATTCGCACAGTGTATGGCTGGGTGAAAGTTTTATAAATCATAACTGGACTAAATTGTGTTTTTTTTTTATATCTGCCTAGAAATCAGACATAACTATAGCATACTTGATGGTGTCAGGTGGCTCACAACCATCAGGTCTTAATAATAAACCCAATATTTATGATCTACTATTAGTATTTTAGAGTCTCACTAAACCTCAATAAATGTCTAAAATGAAATGTTGGCTAATCTACTGTGAAATAATTACCTTCCATATTCCAACATTGATAAGCAAAATTAGAAATTGTATATGGCCCCTAGCAGGAGTCACGGGGTTGCATATAAAGCTAACAATGTCTAAATGGTTGCCCTCAACTGCAATAACGTCTCATCTCTGACTTAAATGCAAAGACCTCTGATGAAAAATCTACTAGCATGTTTATGCTCATTAGAGATAAAAGTAAATATGTCCAGATTTGTCTGCATATAGAGAAAATGACAAAACTAAACTGTAATATTCAGCAGTAATACATTATATGCTCCAAAGCACAAGAAGCAATTAAGATCAAGTGATTCATTGTTACCTTCAGGGAAAATCAACCTTTTAAAGCGCTTGAAATGTGGAGCACAGCAAAACTCTACAGAAAGCTGAAAATAAATCTCCTTTTTGAACGTTTTTATGCTAAATAAAAAAGAAACGTTTACAGTATTCACAAGATGAATTTTTATCAGTAATAAAGAAAGCTGGGGATGCAGCATATCACGTTTTGTTGACTCTGGCTACAAACTTTACAGTATACTGGCTGCGAAAGAGAATGACAAACTAATGATAAACACAATGAGTATCATGGCTCATGTTTTAGATGTTAGTGCAACACCTCCATAAACCAACATAGTAATCAACCATACAATGAAAAGCTAACATTATTTCCTACTCATGCTACACACACACATGCTACATCTGAGTATAATATAAAAGCTGCTGCTAGGCCTCAAGCACTCCATGGGAGCTCTAAGAGCCCTATAGAATGTTCATAGTGTATACGTCATACTAATATTATTGATCAGCTTACATCACATTAGGACGTGCTGAAGATAAACCAGCTTATTCGATAAGGTACTTGGGGTTAAGCTTTGATGTGCACAGTTCATTAACAGTTAGCAACCAATGAGTAAGATTTCTTTATATGATTACGATGCACTGACATGTTTATTTACTATGGCTGCATGCATGCAGGATATCACTGGTGCTTTTTGCACCATCCTATTGCATACACTTGTTTGAATAAAAGTGCTATATAAAATGCACTGTAACTAATAAAACCTAATTTAATATCTAGATGTTTAAGAAGTGTTTGTGAGCCTCCATGTCCTATACACGCTCCATTTGTTGTAGGATAAGAAGAGATGAGCATGCACTGCACAGAGTTCATTCAACCTTAGAGAAGTATGAATGTCAATGTACGCTATGCATCAGCAGAGAATTCCAATCAATGGTATAGAGTGACTTTCAGGAAATGTAAAAAAAAGTCCCCTCAAGCACACCAAACTACCACATTAAGACATAAAGCAACAAACCCAAAGCAGCTCTAGACCAGGTGAGGTATAAGGATTAGGGATTTCAACTATACCCAAACCACAACTAGCAGCAGAACTTTAAGGCCTCTTTAAAAAGCCTTAGCATTAGAACCACCAACCATGCTATTGACTATCTTGAAAAAGGATACAAAATTCTATCTTTTTCAAAATCGACAATGCAGATACCATCTCTGTTTGCCCTAGTGACCAATGTCACTAAGACAGAAATTAGGGGAAATTGAAACTGTTACAGTTGTCACCAGGGCAAGGCATGAGGATAAATTATGCAATGGGGACAAATGTTCTGGGGACAACTTTCTAAAATGGGACCTCACTATACTTTGGGGGATATTTCCTCTGATTTCTTGTTGCTTCTCCAGGAAAGAAAGTGTTGGGAAATCTCCCCATCAGGACACAGACAGCGAGAAATAGCATAATAGCATATCAAATTGGTTATATATACACGTTAAAGCAAACCTATGCTTTGTCAGGGTTTACAACATTTTGTGACATTTAAGCCCTCGTTCACACCTGACCGTTTTGTAGCGCGTTCTACGCTCGACGAACGCTCTACAAAACGGTCAAAAAAATAAATAGCATTGTAGTCAATGCCCTCGTTCCCACCTAGGCGTATTTCCGCTCGTCCCTAACGCCCTACAAAACGGCCCACGCCTGAAAAGGTCCCGGGACTACTTTGGGCCGTTTTGTAGGGCGTTTTCCATTGGGATACAGCCAAGTAGCCTTTGGAATCGCGCAAACGGTCGCGCAACTTTTTTACCGCGAATCGCGGTAAAAAAAACGCGCAACGATCGCGCGACAGGCGCGTTTTTGCAATACGTCTAGGTGTGAACCCAGGCTTAAACACTGACCAAGCAAGCCCAGACCACTGCTTCCACATATTCCAGCTATATTCTAATGGTAGGTGGAGCTGTAGCAATATGGTCAAGGACTCTAGGCACCACAGGTCAGCTAGTTCTGAGCCAGCAGTTATGATGAAACAATTATTTTCTTATGCTTATCCTGATCCAATAAATAGTTTGCCTGTTTAAGAACTGCACTTATCCTCTAGCTCAGAGGCAAATTACAACATGAGCATCTAAAAATATTGTAAACTTCAAAGTTGTGAGTCTCAATTCCTTGACATTTTATACCTGCATCTAGAAAACAAATGAGAAACGAGAACCTGGTTCCCCTATATTAAAATAAATGAGCATGACCACAAGAATTTCAGCTTTCCTTTGCACATCTAATTGGGATCAATTAAAAGTTGGCTGAGCAAGCACTTTAATTCAGTTCTTGCCAAGAGAAAGAGTGTTGCCTTGGGAATGAAATACCCTGCAATACATTTCAATGCTATGTGCCATGACAGTAAGCCGTGGAAGGATTTGGAGAGTCTGCCTTATGGTAAATGATTGCAAGGCAATTAGGAATTAAAACATCCTGGTAGCTAATCATTTCAGCTGCCGTGAATAATATAACGCTGTTCACTTGATTTTTTTACCTTCTGGTGTCTTCTTTTAAATACAGGGTTAGCAGTTGCTTTGGGATATGGAAAGACATGATGCTCTCTGACATCTGCTCCCGAACACAGATCCACTTGTTGTCAGATGCGGGGAATCTGTAGAACTTGTAGATTGGATTCTTTAACACTGGTGGGGGAAACACAGGAAAAGTTTATCCTTTTTACTTTTTATTTTTTATAGAATGACAGTGTTGTACTAAAAACTGAAAGAAAGCAAGAGTAGTAGACAAACATGCACATTTATGCTGCTATTTGAACCTTTTTGATCAAATAGACAGAATACGTAAAACATAAAGCTGGCAAGGGAAGCAATGAGGAATTCAGTCTTTTGTGACCACAAATGTAAGATTAATATTCATTTTAAATTAAACATTTCCACTTTTAGTACAAAATGCCAGCAGCAGGATCTATTTAAATGAGCTCAGGCTAATCAGCAATTCTGAGACCCATTCTACAGAAACATGTTTTCAGAGAAATAAAAAGACTGCCAGTGCTGTCCTTTACCTGAAAATGTTAGTTGCCTGACTCTCATGCTGACCACCTCCCTTCAATATTTTCTAAATCACTGCCCAAGACAAGTATGCAGATTAGGAAATCCTTTGCAAGGTCCATTTGCAATACAAATAACACTAAGCTTGCCCAGAGCTGCTGGCTTGTTTCAGAGAACCACTGGCTTAGTATTCTTACTAAAGGTGCCCATACACCCTTCCATCAGCATTCGGAAATCTTCCACAAATGGTCTTTTGAACGATAATTGAACAGGTGATGGGACACCAACATTTTGTTTACTGTAATCCTGCTCTAATTTTCTCCAAAGGTGAGGGTGGAAAACTTTTTCCGAACCGAACGAAAATCGATGGATTCGTACGAACAAAATCGCTGCACATGCGCAAACGAAAATCTGTTCTGCTGATCGACAAAATTCGGTGAGTTATTATTGCTAATGAATGATTATCGAAATCCACATTGGTCTGTGCTTGATGGGCTATTTGGGCTAGAATCGAAAGAGGGTTCTTGGCAGCAACGAAAATTTCAGATCCAAAATCTATAGGTGTATGGCCAGTTTAAGGCACTGCTTTGTAAGAAAAAGTCAATCAGCATTCATGGTTACATACATACATACATGCATACAGGGTGGAATCAGCATACATGGTTGGAAGCTGATCAGTGGATGCCCAAGTGGAGTATGCCGCTACTCTTTTACTAATGGAGTTTTCACCTTCTTCCTCAACGGTGCTGTCAATGATTTTAAACCTCATAAATGTTAATCTACTTGAATTAAAGTCGTAAAGTGTATTAATCCTCCACTGTATCTGTAATCCCCACAAAGAAATACACAACTCTCCACTGTAAAGCACAATTTACCTGTATTTTTTCAAAATTTGCCAGTTTTCTTCCTGTCTTTGGAAGCAAATGTTTACATTTAGAAAGGTAGCATCATGGGAAAAGATCATACTAGCCACTAATAGAACTAATGCATGTATAGTTATACATGCATATATAAACACACTACTTCTCCCATGGGTAAAGCATCCTTAGACACTTCCACGCATATTCTAGTGACCAAGAAGAGGAGGATACAACAGATTGACAGCAGAGACATTTTGCTTCTGCATGAGGAAATGGCCTGCAAGCTGTTATACAGAAGGCATCTGTCATCTCACAGCTCATGCATAGTCATCTGGATATAAGCAAAACTGCACTCACCAGAGCTACCATTGGGTGGGTGGTGCCTATAAGGCCTTCAGGGTTCTGCTTAGGGTAGCAGGTTAAGAGAAGACAACATCAAACTACAGCAATTCATCGGTAAACAGTAATAAAGGATGAGGGGGTGAAGGCACTGCTTAAATCTGAACTCTGAGTACAAACACTCTCATTTAAAAATATTCTTCTACAGTGACAAATTATATAAATTTACTTTGTGTGCACCAATTGCCTTTGTAAACCTAGGTATTACCATCATAATGATGATGTAATCACAGTGCTGCACAGTCCAGAGAGCAGAGATGTGGGAGGGACCCAGCAGAAAACTACAAGAGGGGTGGGTACCAGTCACTCTGCACAAGGGGAGAGAGCAGAAGTGACTGGTCTTATTTACATAAAGCTCCTGCACCGAAGCAAAGTTTCACACTGGATTGCTACACAGATCTGGAAGAAATACACAAAGAACACCAAGATTCCAGTAGGAATACACATGCCTCTGGTATTTAGACAATATTTGCATTTCCTAGAAATCAGCTTTAAAGGAAAGGAAAGATTTTCTGCAACTTAAAGTGACATTAAACCCTCAGATTTTTTTTACATAAAACAATACTGTATGGTGCGCCTTCCTGTAATCCATGGTAGTTTCCCTTCTCTTTGCTGCTCTTCCTTTTAAATCCGTATTTCTTCTCATGCTGGGCAGAACTTCTGTTTTGCAGCAGACTGCCTTGTCTCTGGAATGGATACATGGTGTCTGTGTGCAGGTTCACAACCTGAGCCAGCACTACAGAAAGAGGCACTCAGCTGCAAAGGGAAGTTCTCCCCCAGCATGAGAATAGATACAGATTCAAAAGGAAGAGCAGCAAAGAGAAGGGAAACAACCATGGATTACAGGAAGGCACACATTACACTATTGGTTTATGTTAAAAAAATCTGAGGGTTTAATGTCACTTTAAAGGTAATGCTTTTGTTTCAGTCTCTTAGTTGGTGGACTGAACAGCTTAATAGTAGATCATTATATCAAGCTGACATTATGCTGCTTATAGTAGTGAATCTGGTTTCATTTATTATAAATTAAAAGGAATCATTTTCCATGTGGGTCTAGGGCAGTATAAACACCAAATAAGGCTGTGCCGCTAGGTAACAGAGCTGCTGGGAGATGGTCAGACTGTGCCTTCACATCCAACTACTCTTTGTGTCTGCACACTTTATCTGTTTTTACATGCTAGCTACCTAAAGTATTCATGTAAACAGATCTTGTTTTAGGCAATGAAAAAAAGAAAAGCCTTGCTTGTCATTGCTTTACTGCATTCTACACACTGTGCCAAGTCATATCAGCATTTTTTAAGGGATATGTGTGAGTGCGTGTTATGCCAACATTTTAAATATATACCTGATATCTTAAAATACCTATTGTCCTCTCTGCTTACTGCCCTAACAAGATACCCTACATCTGTCCAAGCCTTCTTCACATGCATAAACCTGATTCATTTACTTCACTATTGCGTAATGAAAGAAGCGATAAAACTGACCTGCCATAATTCTGCTGTATTAATAACACAAGATATAATAAATGCCATGATTACGGTGTGTTTATACCAGATATGTGGGCTCAACGACCTTCACATAAAACCCTTTATTTAAGTAATCATTAAAAAACTTCCATGAAGTACTACATGAACTTCTTTATTCCTCATAAAATACCTGAGTTATGGCATCTGCATTCACCATTAAAGCATTTACAGTGAAGGGCCCCAGAAAAAAACAGTAGCAAGTCATTTCTATTTTTAAACATAAAACAGGAACTGAATATTTAATGGATGTGTAGACCGGCTAAAAAAAAAAAGTCTTAAAAGCAGTTAAATCTGGCAAGATAAATGACTAATGTTATGACATCTTCCATTACCTGTGTGAAGAAGGTAAGGTAATTAATCACTGGAAATGCCTGTCTACCTCTTTAACAAATGTTTAGTCATGATTTAAGGGCCAGTTTCCAGTGACATACATAACACAGTGTATAATACATTATATACACAATTAACATTGTTAAGCAGCATTTTGCAAAACAAAATTGAACTTCATCAGCCAAACCAGCATAGGAGCTTGAAGTCCTTGCCACAATCATAGACACGCATGGGGACAAACGTTTGGTGAAAGTCAAACACAGTAATGTATCGATGATAAAACCAACAAGTTCCCACTGGGGGCTCTTAAAACTACAAAGAATATACAAACTGGCGAGTCGCTGGTTCCTCTGATTATAATTACACTCAGAAACCCCACAAAGCCTCTGTGATATCAGCAAACACCATACTGTCCTAGTAACTAGAAACATTGCCGCATTATGGAAATTCTAGCACAGCCTTTCTCAACCAGGGTGCCATGGCAAGTAATGGGTGTTGCTTCAAATTTTTGCGGGGGAACTCTAATGTGAAGGGAGCTCCTGATATGAAGGTGGCTCCTGATGTGAGGGGGGATTCCGATTTGAAGGGCCCCCAGATATGAAGAGGGCATCTTGATGTAAAGGGGGCTCCTGATGTGAAGGGGGTTCCTAATGTGAAAGGGAGGACTTTGTGAAGGGGGCTCCTAATGTGAAAGGGGCTCTTGTTGTAAAAGGAGGAACTCTGATGTGAGGGGGGATATTTAACATAGTCTTTTTTTTCTGTTTGGATTTTCTGTTTGGATGGGGTCTCCCCATAAAAACTATACCAGTTTGTTATGGATTTTTTTTGGGGGGGGAGTGGTTTAAATTTTTTCTTTTACATTGTTTCCAATTTCAGTTAGACTGGGATGCCTTGAGATTTTGCATACTTTTAAAAGGTGCGCTGACTGAAAAAAGGTTAAGAAATGCTGTTCTAGCAAAACAATAAGCAGGAGACCTAAGAAGGAATGGGCTTCCTAAAATATATAAAAATACCTATCTTTTAAGCTAACCTGAATGGCAGGCACAGAGAGGAGGACCCACACGTATATGGGGGATGATCTCTGTGGATTTATATGTAATAACATGTGTGAGAGAAAGCAGAAATAATCATTGGTGGATCAATAAAGGCATCACTATTATCACAAACTGAGCATCACACATTTCAGTGGACTGCACTGCTTGCACTTTGTATTAGGTTTGTCATTTTTCCATATTTATTATTTTTTTGTTGTGTTATTCCATAATTTCACTCTGGTTAATTTAATTGTATTTTACTACTATATAAAAATGCTGATCCGTTTATTGCATTTATAACTCAGGCACATATCTGACAATTTAAACTAATTAAAAATATATGTAATAAAAGCAGCACAGTTAGTGACTAGGCCACCTTTTACAGTGCCTTTACTGTAACTGTTTAAATCCCCACAATTTCTTGGGCTGAAGAAAGGGAAAATTAAAAACAAAATGTTTCTGAAAAACTGCAATAAAACTCCACCTTT